AGTGATGTGGTGATTCCGGGGAGTATTTTTATAATCGGTACGGGGTCATAACCGTCTCAATACAAGAACAGGAAAGCCGTATACCGAAAAATGTCTTGGTAAAAAGTAATACGAGTAATATAGCCCCTTTAGATGGAATGCTTCGAGTGTCAAATTTGATCATGATAAATTTCTCTACTGTGCTAATGGAGTCCTACATAACTGGCACAGTTAAATCCATTGGTACTCCTTGTTACACGTCAAGTTTGAGGAGAAAAAATGATTTAACCCACCTTCGGTGTAACAAACTACGCGATCTCATAAAGAGATGAAAACTAAAGGACTTCTTAATACCAGAGAGCACAAATTACTTTCTCAGGAAATGCAGCGGATGATTAAAACAAAACGAGACCCGGTTACCAGTCGAAGTAAGCATTGACCGGGTGGCATTGTGCAACCAGTTTGTTCAACCCTTGAGAGGAAAGAAGTGACCGGAAGAAGTAAAAGGTTGAGAACAGCACCAAGATAACAATACGGAATCCATGTGCACGAAACGTGAGTGCAAATAGAGCTTTTCCCAAAACCCCACGGGAAAAGGTGTAGTTACGACACTCAATAAAACTGCTAAATGCTTCTAACCATTGGTTCGATTGGTCCAGAAGTTCCCACATGACTAAGTCGCCTAGTCAAGGTTTTTTTTCACGACGCACTACCTGAATCGGTAAACATGTAAAGGAAGCTTACCTGGGGGCATGCGTGGTGGCGCAGTGGTTTAGTCGCCTTCACCGGCGTACTTTGGACCCGAGGTTCGAGCCCCGCCACTGCCACCCGACTTCAGTGNAGTGGTAGGTAGCTTTACTGTCGTCCGGTTCAATACCCCGCCTAACCTATCGGGGCCTTATGTGGTTCGTCACTCCAAGTTCCAGGGCTTAGGTTGCCGGTCTCCACCACTGAACAGCAGGTCCTCGTGACTATGGGGTTCGCGCCGTCTGCTATTCATCACACTTGGGTGTATAATAAAAAAGACCATTTTTCCCTATAAAAGTGACTAAATCCCTTTTGTTTTCCCTATTTTCCCAAATATTTTTATAAAACTTGAATTTCCAAATTTCCGCGCCGGAAAAGGCTCAGTCCACACCACCGGTCATAGTTAATCCTGATTGGTCCATGCTTTCAGAACTCTGTACTTTCCAGCTATTTTTCAGAGGTATTGCTGGCCGGCCCCGAAACTGTATATAAACAGATGAGCTATCCATAGTCATGACCTTTTGGGTTGAGCTAAATACACAACCTCGCCTGAAGGCCTGCCTTCCGTATTCTACCTGGGTGGGTTCCGAGATCGTATTACTCCCCCGGGGCGTTTCTTCCGGTTCTCTTCGGAATTGCGCCGGGTAACGCAGTCGGGCGTATTAGTGTTGTGTTCATTCGGTGACTGGATTGTTACGGTTTTTGTTCATGGTCAGTCCTACCGCTCGTTCCACTTCGGGTCACGGTTCACACTAGTCCGCTCGTGTCGTTATCTGAATGTTACAACACCAAAATGACCCAAATTTCTTTTTTATTGCACAAATCTGTGTGGTGAGCAGAAGACGGGGCAAACCCCATATTCATAGAAACCGGTAACCTAAGCCCCGGGACTTGCAGTGGCGAATCACATAAGGCCCCGATAGGTTAGGCGGGGTATTGAACCGGACGACAGTAAAGCTGCCTACCACCGAAAATGGGTGGCGGTGGCGAAGTTCGAACCTCGAACCATAGAGTCCGAAGCATGCCGGTGACACCCGCTGAACCACTGCACCACTAACACCCAAGTTCGCTTTCCTCACCAGACTCACCGATGCGACGTAGACGACGACTTGCAAACACCGACTGTCCGTCTGGACCCTTTGGCGGAACGATTACGTATCTGTACTACACAGGAGAACCGATCGAACACCTGCAGCACAAACTTGAACGTACACAAACGAATGGATGTCGCAGTGATTTCATAGATATCAGATTGACAAAAGCCCATTGAGGCGAAAGCTTCCTGAAAATCGACCTATTTCTAGGAGAAATCGAAGTCAACCAATGAGAAAAAACCGAACGGTCTAGACAATTCTTGGAATGTGTTGGAATGTAAAAGTAGTTACGTGAGTTTACAATCTGATTGACTTTATTGGTCACCTCTACCCTGAAACGATCTAAAATCACTTATCTCGCACATTTTCTAGAACTCCCAAGTGTCAAAAGTCAGTTCTTCAGGAAATGCTCTCAATATATTTTCTCTAGTCCACTGGACACAAATCACATTTGGGAAGGGAATCATTGGCGTCTATATATAAACCTGAACCAAACAGATTGTTCAGGTCGGCAAAATTGAAGTCTTGTAAAAATGCAATTGATGCAGTAAAACAAAACGATTAATTCAAACAACATTACAACACACCAAGGTCAAGTCATGGATACACTTTGAGCGCGTTTTCCCTTGAAGTGTAACGTAGTTGTGCGCTCTTGAATACAACTTCAGCACTGATCTCGTTGGCTTCTGATTTTTTGAGGTCGGTGGATGGAGAGTTGCAACTGGACGTTTAAAAGCGTGATTTTACCAGACATAACAGAGTCGTCTGTGTATGCATGCCGTCATTTGGAGATTCGTCTGATAGGTGAGCGGCAAGTGGTCAAACAGCAATATTTTCTACTCTCGCTCCCCTCTGCTGGAATGAGGTTGAGTTGGATCTACCCAGTCCGGCAATAATATTTTAAACTTTGAAGGTGCACAACGCATGCTAAACAGTGGTAGATCAAGATCCAATCCATTCTAAAAAGGCTGCAAATCGAAGGAATTTACGTTTAACAGTACAATGCCGTCTGAGTACTCCAGATGGAACAAAGTCAACGACCGTCTTTAGATTGAGGAGGATAGACATGATGGATTTAATACATGTATTTGATAATTCGGTCAACGAGGAATATATGTTCAACGTATCCCCAAAATCAGTCTGAAACAAGCTCGGTTTTAATGCGTGCACTGATATGTGCTGCAGACAATCGACGGAGTACAATGCTAGCAAAAAACTTCGAGACAATGTGGATCAAACTTGCTTATCTGTGGTTCTCGTCAGAGAATCCTATAAATGGTTAAAATGACTGATTCACATGGAACTTATTGGCATTATAATATTGAACCCATGACTTTAAAACCCGACGGTGATAATCCATTGGAGCTTGAGACTTTATACTAATTTCCCGAGGAATCTGCATTTCAGAAGGATTGGTATCAAATGGTGTTGGCTGAAAACTTAGGGCAGAAGTAGGTAAACCTATTACATAATCTGACTTTCGCGAACCCTTGCACGTAATTAGGCGGGATAGTTTGTGACTATTACCAATGGCTAGTTACCTGTCAACTTTGTTAGCCACCATTTCGTGTGATCGTTCTTCAGGGTCTCAATAAGCTGGTGTTTGAGGAATTCGCGCAGGATGATATTTAGCATCCGGAGGAATGGCTCCGTGAACCATTAAAAAAGTAGTAGAGGTAGAGGAAAGTTACCATGTGTTCTGGTCGTAAGCAAAAATTCATCGTTGATTAAATCGATACCCGAACAGCTTCTCTCATCAGCTTCCAATCCTGAGTCCTTCATTGGACGATCGGAGTGAGAAAGTTGTTTCCAGGTCCGAGTTGCAGCCGTGGCTTACACTGTATTGGGCGGATTCCGTCCCCACGATCTCATTGCAGTTGCTCACCAGGTGTAGGCAGAATCTGGCTTGTAACAGAGCATGTTTTATATCCTCGGACGTTGACCAGTGAGAGCGAGTCTGGAATCAAACTTCGTCACGCGATAACGGATAGCAACGTGGCCGATTTGAGTTTACTGCTGAGAAAAATAAAGGGGTTTCCATGTAAGGTGTTATCGTTACTTGTTTGATAAGTTGGTGCTGGATAAGAACAATTTGTGCTCTGCTCAGAGTTGAAGTAGGCTGTCTTCACTGTCTGTCCCATTGGCTGAGACTGCATGTGAAACACCTAAGTGCTCCTTTGTTTCCCGACTATTGAAGCCGCGGGCAACTAATACGATGCTCGTTGAGTGAATCCTTTGAAGAAATCAACAGAGGCCACTGCGTAACTCATGCTTGATTACTGGTGAACTGCATTTAGCCGACTCATACATGGACACGACTAATAAGTGCCGACGCTTTATCCCGTTGTTGTTGTTGACCTGTAATGAACTAACGAAAGGTAGGGTGCACTCGGCCATACTAGGATCTAGTTGAGAACCAAACGCTCAACTTTGACAACGAATGCAATCCCAAAATCCCCAAATACGGTGAAGCAAACTTCACTGATCGCTGTCAAAGTCGTAATGCCTACAAAGTTAGTGGTAACATCTAAAGTGGACAGGGATTGAACCTATTCGGATGAAGGAAGAAAGTAAACCTCTATGGTCAACACAGAGTACGCAATCTAACTGTGCATCAATAACTTTTCAAGCATTCTGACATGACAGGAAATGACAACTAGAACACCACTGCCCTCGGTTCGTTACCATATCTGTCAATGTCTCCAACCAAATAGTTAGTCTTTCGGACTCCAACCTGGAAGGCATGATAATCCTAGCCTGATAAATAGCTGTGCATTTCTTGATGTCTGGTTTAAATGTTATCACCGGTTTTCTCGAACCCTGTGCAGCTACAGCGAATAGAGCGCAGTGCAGTGGACAACACCTGGATATACGTAATACGTGTTCTAACCAGCGAAGACTACTTACTTATCTGAATCCCATGACGTAGCAAGTTCATCCCTGATAACAGCCAACAGCCTCAGAATGGTCAGGGGTGGCTTTTCGTCCTCCCTCTTTGGTGAGAAAACACCTCCGTCACAAAAAGGCCGTCAGTAGGGCTTCCTGAGCAGAGGCTATTCGAGACGCTTGGTCGTATGGGAGCATTTCGCGAGGTGCAAGGGAAGAGCGACCAGCCACAACCCTGGACACCCACCCCCAACCATGCTAAGGCTTTCGGAGGCAACCGAGTTGGTGGACCACCGGTAGTTCACATAGGAAAGTTGACCAAAAACCCTGATTCCAAACCAATCACGAGGCGTACGAACCACACAACTTCCCGGTTGTGACAGTGGTCACTGGTTTGATTGGGCATCGAGGTATATTGGGCACCTTGGACGTTTGACCCCGTCCAAAGCGCGTATGATCCGATTACCTGGACACCGGCCCCTGCTGTCTTGCGGGTCAGCCGAAGGCTCCGGTATTGTATCTCTCAAGAAAGTTCACCTGCCTTCGCCTGGGCAACCTGGTAGTACGCAACCCACATGCAAATCGTGGAACGTCTTTCTTTACCACAAAGATTATTGTGCCATGATTTGTTTGGAACACAGTGAAATGTCGCGTCTACGCCAAAGGTGTTCCAATCCTGCGTATGCTGCTCGAGCCTTGGAAATGAGGACGGTTGTCTCCTTTGCTGCACTACCGTCACTGGTCACGCAGCTACCTAAGTAGCAAAAGCAATCCACCGTAGCTAATTCCTGGTCATTTAGCTTCAGAGCGGGAGTAGACGAAACCCAATCCTGCAGCATCACTTTACACTTTGAAGATGCAAAGCACCCATGTGGTAGCAGCAATTGTTAACCATTCAGGTGGGTTTTGCGCGTCCTCCATACATTCGAACAGACAGACGATGTCATCGGCGTATTCTAAATCCAACAGCTTTTCTCCAGCTGCCCATTGAATACCTACGTTTTGGAGATCACTTAGCGCGTTCTCCAGTAATTCGCCTACGACGAAACTGAACGGGAATGGCGAAAGAGGGCACTCTTGAAGAACGTCGCTGCTGATAACGAATGGTCTATTTAGTTTGGTGTAAACCTTAACTGGACCAGAGTACAATGACCTCAGTTAACGTACTTCTGGGGCATTCCTTTTCGAAGAGAACCCATCAGAGCGTCGCGGTCAACTGAGTCGAAGGCTCCTCTCAGGTCAAGGAACACTACGATCGTTGGCCGACGGTGGGTGTGACGCAGCTCGAGGACCGGACCCAACGTAGAAATTTGACCAATAAATCCACGACCAGGCCGGAATCCGGCTTGCTGTTCATGGATGTTGATCTCCCTTAAAGGAGTCAGAATTGAAGTAAGACGGAGGTTAGCACTATGGTGACGATTGGGATCAAACTTATCCCGTGATGGTTTTCGCAATCGTTGCGAGATCCCTTCTCGAAAATTGGAACGATCAGTGATTGTCTCCAATAAGGAATGTGCTTTGCGTCCAAATGTTGTGCGGCAAGTTAGTAATAGGGTTTACGAGGTTATCACCCCACCCCCATCTTGAAAAGAATGGAAGGGGGCCTGTCCGGTCCTGCTTCTTGTACTCGCTTCAGAGCTAGAATGCAAAATTGAACTTCTGCTTCTGCTTGAGGATCGCACGTCACCGACCACGGAGCTTCAGTTGCAGATGAAGTATTCTGGCTAGCGCCAGGCCAGCTGAACTGTTCGCTGAAGTATTCCGCCCAGCGATCAAGTAGTTGGTCCACATTGTGAATAGCAACACATCTTTTGATGTTGCTTCCCCTCCGGACGCTGATGTAACCTTGGAGACGCATTGTACATAAACGACTGTTGACGAGAATCCAATCGATAAGAGGACTCGGTTCTGTTACTGAGTATAATACCTGCCCCCTGATGTGCGCAGAACATACTTTGAGGACAAATTTGGTGCGTTTAAGTGGATTATGACAGTAGAATACTGAATTCGTGTCCGATCCCCAAGGATCCCATTATACGTGCTCAACAAGCTTGTCGACCTAACTGCATCGGAGTCCGCAGGTTGAAAAGCCCCAGATTCCGTGATTGATGAGGCTTCCGAATCTGTAAATTATTTCGTGGTAAATTACTTACAGTGTTGTCTAGCAACGACCACTGGCAAGTGGTAAACCAATTGCCTGATGGGTTTTTTACAGGTTGGAAGGAACAAAGGACGAGGGTCGGGTATAGAAAACAAAGAGTCAAACAAAGGCTGGGATGTCTGA